AAAAAAAATACTATAACTAAAATCACTAAATCAACGAATGACTTTAATAAGAGATTGGACACAGCAAAAGACAGGGTTAGTGACTAGAAGATAGAACAGAGAATATAAAAATTAAAACTAAAAAAAGAATGGGGAAAAACAAAACATAAAAAAAAAGCTGTTAAAAATGTTGGATACATCTGGATTAGAGTCTCATAAAGGAAGTAGAGAAAAAACTGGGCAAAAGCAACATCTGACAAAATATCAACAATTTTTTATGTTTTCTGTGGTTTCATTAAATTCTTCAAAGAAATCAGACAATTTGGAATCCCATTTCAAATTGGAATACCTAAGAGCTAAGATAAACACTTTGTTGCCATGATTCAAACCATCACTTGATATTCTACAGAAAGCAAGATCCTTGGTAAAATTTAATAGAATCAGCTCTATAGTGCAGGGGGTCAGCACATCAGGTACCACATGTTCCCCCTTTGTTACTCACAGGATTTGTGTAGTTCTAACCTCTGAATCAGAAAAATATAACTGTTTTCAGTTTCAAACACCAATGGAGGGAAAAGGATGATAACACACGTTCTTGTGAGTGTGGTGTGCACAAGGTGACTTGGCAGCTGCTATTTGGGACTGAGCCTATCTCATTCTGGACCTATGTAATTCAGTCTTCAAATGTGTTTCACATCCATATCTTCATCATGTCCAATCTCAAGTTCTTTTTTGCATGTTTTGCAGTATGCTCTGTTTTGGTTATTTAACTCCCTAATCCAGTTGTGTGTGTCTTTCCATCTGTCATTAAAATAACAGCCATTGGGACACTGGGTGACTTAGTTGGTTGAATGTCTGACTCTTGATTTTAGCTCAAGTCATGATCTCAAGGTCGTGGGATCAGGCTCTGTGCTCAGCAGGGAGTCTACTTGAGATTCTCTCTCTCCCTCTCTCCACTCCACACTCTTTCCCTTTCTTTCTTAAATAAATAAATCTTTAAAAAAAAAGAGTTAAAACAATAAAATAACACAATCATTTAGCTTTCTCTTTTAGTGATGTTTGGATCATGCTGGCATTGGTATTATAATTGTTCTCATGATCTAAATCTTAGAAAACATGGTCACACATTTACAATCTTAAAACTTAAACTAGTACTCTTTTAAAGTAAAAAAAAAAGACTGTTCATGCTAAGGATTATAATGTACTTAAATGTACACTAAGGTCATACTACTTGGAATGATGTAACATGATGATCTATTATCGTGGGTCTGTGGTTGTTTGCATTAGAAGTCAAGAGGAAAAAAGAACTATCACCACTAAGGATGATGGATAAACTATGCCACATCTATTTCACACTTATTTTTTTAGCCTACCTCTTGGGTTCTGTACTTGCCTTTCCACTTTCCTAACCCATGACTGAGAAGCAGGAATTTCTGCTTTCTGGAATGCCAGACTTTCAATCCTAAAATCAGGAACAGTTACAAGCAAATTCAGGTCAGTCAGTCTGAATCAATATCTTTTCCCCCCTCCTCAAAACATCTCAATTGAATTTACCCTCCCTTAATCTTCCTCATCTGCATTTGTACTCTCAACCTCAGACTTGACCCCACCTTGATCTCCACAATCTTGCCCTCTTGACTCCTGCTTGCTCTCAACCTCTCAACCCTTATAACCCCTACCAACTTCAATTAATCTTATCCTGTCAATCCCTCTCATATTTAGTCCACCTCATCCTCTCTACCTTGTTTGAACTCAATCTCACCCACTGACTCTAGACTTCACCTGAGTCTGACTTCTGAACATCAACCAACTTGGACCTCTCAATCTCCGCAGGTCTTGTGTCTGATCCTTCTCACCTGAACTCTGTCCACTCAGCCTCCTTCTGTAGACCTTGACCAACCGCATCCTCTCAACCTTGTTCTCTTCAACCAACCTTCTCCTCTCAATTGCAATGAACCTCATTCTTTTAACTTTATCTTTCAACTTTATTCTCTTTAGTGTAACCTCATCTTCTAGACCTCTCCTCTTAACCCAATCTCATTCATTCTCTCCTTAACCTAGTGATTGACACTGCCATTTATGTAGTCCTCAAACCCAAAATCTCAAGCCATGCAAGATCTATTCATAGTTTTATATTATATGTACCATATTAGTCATCAGATACTATCAATTAGCTGCTAAAAATTGCTCTGGAACTCATTTGTTTCAATCTTCATTACAAATGTTTCATTTTAAGTTCCATTACTGCCCATGTATACTACCGCTGAAGTGCCCTAACAGATCTCATGTCTCCCTTCCCACTTTGTTCAATCCCCATCCATCTTGTCCTCCATGGCCAGAGAGGGATTTTTAAAATGAACCTCTGACCATATGCCCAATGCTTTGCTTGTGTTACAGAAAATTAATAATTTCCACCATTTAGCTAGCACTCATTCTTTTTTATTTTTTTAAAGATTTTATTTATTTATTCATGAGAGACACACAGAGAGAGAGAGGCAGAGACATAGGCAGAGGGAGAAGCAGGCCCCATGCAGGGAGGACGATGCAGGACTTGATCCTGGGATTCCAGGACTCAACCGCTGAGCCACCCAGGCGTCCCACTAGCACTCATTCTTAAGGTCATAATTCAAAGGCTGATGCTTCTAGCAAACCTTCTTTGTCTAGATCTAAACTATATTCCTCTTTTTGAAGTTCTAGTAATGTTTTATGCAAAATTCTAATACAGCATTTTACTAGGCAATCATATAACTTGTTTGAGTACATTTTTATACTGGATGTCTTCCAGCCTCAATTATGCCATAAGCTTTGTAAGAACTAATTTCTTACAAATGAATCTTTATCTGTAAGATCTGACACATGATAAGCACATGACAAATATGAAATTGTTTTTCTTTTTTTTTTTTAATTTTATTTATTTGAGAGAGAGTGAAAGAGAGACAGAGAACACGAGCAGGAGGAAAGGCAGAGGCAGAGTAAGAAGCAGACTCCCTGCTGAGCAGGGAGCCCAACATGGGGCTCGATCCCAGGACTCTGGGATCATGACCTGAGCTGAAGATGAACACCTAACCAATTGAGCCACCCAAGTGCCCCTGCAATTTCAAATATATACATGTTATCCCATTTCCAAAAGTCAGATTATTATAACTTTCATCTTAAAGGGAAAGGGAAATTTTTTTCTTTTTTTTTTTAAGTTTGTATTTACTTATTCATGAGAGACACAGAGAGAGATGCAGAGACACAGGCAGAGGGAGAAGCAGGCTCCCCACAGAGAGAGTGCTGAAGGACTCAATTCTAGGACCCTGGGATTACGACCTGAGCCAAAGATAGGTGCTCAACCACCTGAGCCACCAAGGTGCCTCAGAAATAATTCCTTAATAAGATAGGTGGAATGCTAACAAACTTTCTAATACAATTGATAATTGCTCTATTCTTGCAGAGAAATTGTATATTCTTTTTAAATTTAATATTTACTCTAATACTTATGGTCTTTAAAACTAGTTGGAGCTGATGTTTCTCTTATTTTTTTCTGTTCTTTTTTTTATATAAATTTATTTTTTACTGGTGTTCAATTGATGTTTCTCTTAAACCATGAATTAACTGAGAAAACTGAAAAGGTCTTTAATTCTCTTTACTTTCCTACCAAAAATAATTAATTAATAGAATATACATTATATAACATATTTCATTAGCAGACTTCAGTAATACTGGTAGAAAATTTTACTTATATGTAAATAATATATATATGTATATGCATATAGGAAATTATATATATGTTTTTAAGATTTTATTTACTTGAGAGAAAGCACGAGCAATGGGAGGGTCAGAAGCAGTCCCTGCAACTGCAGGGCTCAATCCCAGGACCCTAGGATCATGATCTGAGCTGAAGGCAGACCTTAAGCAACTGAGCCATCCAAGGCACTCCACATAAATACATATATATATATTTATATATTTATTTTATTTATTTAATTTATATATATTGTATTTATATATATATTTATAACATGAGAAATAACTCAAATATCAGATGTAGTCACAAACAAAAATGATATACTTCTTTTTTTAAAAAATTTTATTTATTTGAGAGAGAGAGAATACAAGCAGGGAGAGGACAAGAGGGAGGACCACAGGGAGAGGGAGAAGCAGACTCCCTGCTCAGCAAGGAGTCCTGAGATGCAGGGCTCATCCCAGGAACCTGAGATCATGACCTGAGCCAAAGACAGACATTTAACCAACTGAGCCCCCAGATGCCCCCAAAACTACGTATTTCTGAATGAATTCACCAGAGTTAATTAACCAGAGTTCTTATGTAACACTTGGCCTAAATTTGTTAGTAACTACATAATCATAGAGGGTGAAAATCCTAGCACTACTTCTATTTTTTTTTTTTTTGCACTACCTCTAAATAGCCATATAACCATAGGTAAATTACTTAAGCTCTCTGAGCCTCAGTTGCCTCACCAGTAAAATAAATTTCACATACACACATATATATATGTATATATAATTTTACATATAATATATAAATATGTTATATACCTATATATATAAAAGGTAACTACCATTATTTATAATGAGAAATAATTTTTCTTTCCTTCAGTATTAGTATGTCATTATACTTTATATATCAACATAATTTATAAAATTACTGGTATTAATATGAAATAGCTAATTTATAATTGGAGTAATAAAATGGGAGTGAAATTGTCCAACATTCTTCAGTCCCTTTTAAATCCTAAAAATAACTATGCTGAATATATTTTATTGGAGAATGCAGTATTGCAAATTTTCTAATGAATAAGATTACTGAATTCTGTGCATTTCATGATTCATTTCCATATGATGATTAATGTTGTCTTAAAGAATAAGAGCCAAAAAAAAAAAGAATAAGAGCCCAAAGATCATATGTCCACCTTGAAAAATTAGACAGAACTCAGACAGCTTAGTACACTGAGTATACACATCTAAGCCAGAACATATGTATAAACAGACACATATCAAACTCCAATTACAGTCCTTACTTTAATTTTCACAGCATCATAGCGGATTTGTGAAAACTCGCGAAGACCGAAAGAACCTCCAACAATCAGCAACTGAAAGAAAGGAAACAATCAAACAAAATAGAAGGTCAGAATTCAGTCTATCTACAGATTACTTATCTAAATGCCAACAATGGCAGCTCACACGAAATCCAATAGGTTACTTTCCTGGTGAGTTAGCATTCATCTGCTCAGAGTAGATGCAGTATATATACACTGTCACTAGGAAACATTTTATCCTATTACCAAATATCAAAGTCAGTACCCTAGCCTTGCTTGTTTGTTTTTAAAGATTTCATTTATTTGAGAGAGAGAGAGTGGGGAAGGAGCAGAAGGAGAGGGAGAGAGACAAGCAGTCTCTGCACTGAGCGCAGAGCCTGACACAGGGCTTGATCCAAGTACCCGGAGATCATGACCTGAGCCAAAACCAAAAGTTGCATGTTTAACCAACTGAGCTACACAGGTGTCCCCAGTACCCCATACTTACATTCCACTTTATGGTTTAAATAACATCATCACAAGCATTAAGCTAAGAAAAAAATCCATTTAACAGATGAGGAAATAAAAGCATAGCCAACTAAAAGACTTGCCTATAATTACACTCAGTAAAGCTAGAAATTCCATTTTAGCCTCATTTCTTCAAGACCAGAATTCTTTTGGGGCGCCTGTGTGGCTCAGTGGTTGCGTGTCTGCCTTCGGCTCAGGGCATGATCCTGGGATCCTGGAATTGAGCCCACATCAGGCTCCGAGCAGGGAGCTTGCTTCTGCCTCTGCCTATGTCTCTGCCTCTCTGTGACTCTTATGAATTAAAAAAAAAAAAAAAAAAAAAGACTAGAATTCTTCCAATTTCATGATTTTGCAAAATCAGCCAACTACACAGTAGTTGGCTTCTCCATTTTCTTACCAACTAATAAAAGGATCTAATAAAAGGATCTAATAAAATACACCACACTTCTCAATATGTGGCAAACCTTAAAAGATCCCTCCAACTGCCAATGCTGCTTTATCATCTCCTCCAATAACCTAAAGGGCTTTCACCCATAAACTTAAAGCTGCAAAAGTCTAGGAATTTGGATAAAAATAAAGTTTATTCCCTACCTTCCTTTTTATAAAAATATACTAATATTACCAATTAAAGAAATATGAAGATATAAAACATTGTAAAATATAAAATTTCACAATTTTGAAGTTGAAGTACTAACAAAACCTTGAGGATATAAATTTTAAAACCCAGCAAGTCAGACCACATAAAAATTTTAAATGTCTATCCTGACAAATAAATGAAATAGGGACGCCTGGGTGGCTCAGCGGTTAAGCGTCTGCCTTCAGCCCAGGGCATGATCCCCGAGTCCTGGGATCAAGTCCTGTGTCAACCTCCCTGCATGGAGCCTGCTTCTCTCTCTGCCTCTCTCTCTGTGTGTCTCATGAATAAATACATAAAATCTTAAAAAATAATAATAAAACCCTCTTGACTTTTACCCCAAAACTTTCTGGCTCAATCTTTCACATCCCAGTAAATGTCAACTGCTCTCATCCAATGACTCAAGCCAACTTCCTTGTGATCTTCAAAAGCTCCTCTCCTTCGTATCTCATGTCTAAACCATCCCTGAGTTCTCTCACCTCCACTTTCAAAATAATTCTTGAATTTGACAATTTCTGACTATACCTTCTTCTAATATTCTAGTCCAGGCTACCTCTTTCTGGAACTCTTTCTGGGACTACTGCAATCACAGTACCCACATGGTACATAATGAAGAAGTTGTCTGACCTTTGTCTTGGGTTCCTGGGAGGAAAGTACTAACTTGGAATTTCTTGAGGGACAGGAATATCTTTGTCATTGATGGTGAGTCCCAAGGACCATGCCTGAGTTTATGCTAATGAGGTGACTCAGAGTAGGCCCCTCGACAGTTGCAGGATACAGGTGGGCCATGCTGGAATGACCAACCATATGACTAGAAGGGTGGGGCTTTAAGTCATATGATACTAACTTGACCTCCCCACCTCCAAGGAAAAGGGGCTAGACACCGAGTTCCTTCATATAGCTAATGATTCAATTAACCATACCTGGGTGATTAAACCCCGATAAAAAAACTCCTGGACACTGAAGCTTGGTTGAGCTTCCTGGCTGAACACATCAATGTGCAGGGAGGGTGGCAGGCCCTGATTTCACAGGAAGAAAACATGGAAACTCTGCATTTGGGACCCTCCCAGACCTTGCCCTATGGGTCTCTTCTTTTGGCTGTTCCTAATTTTTAACCTTTATAATAAAAATTATAATTGAAGTATAGTGCTTTCCTGAGTTCTGTGAGCCATTCTAGTGAATTATTGAACTTGAGGGAGTTAATAGGAACCCAAGAATTTGTAACCAGTTGATCAGAAGTATAGGTAGCCTAAGAATCCCAGAGCTTTCAGCTAGTGTCTGAAATAAGGGGAGTTTCATGAAGGATTATTCCTTTAATCTGTGAACTCTGTGCTAATTCTGATTGGTGTCAGAATTGTATTGCATCACCTACCACTCATTACTACAGTATCTACACTCCTAACTAAATATCTTCATTTGTGCAATACATCCCATGTCGTCTTATGTACTGAAAGACCCTGATTCATCAATTTTCCATTTTCTATATCATGAAAATCTTGCTTATTATTATATGATTCACCATAAAAATGTTATTTCTCCACTTATTTTTTTTAATTTTTATTTATTTATGATAGTCACAGAGAGAGAGAGAGAGAGAGAGAGAGAGGCAGAGACACAGGTAGAGGGAGAAGCAGGCTCCATGCACCAGGAGCCCGATGTGGGACTCGATCCCGGGTCTCCAGGATCACGCCCTGGGCCAAAGGCAGGCGCTAAACCCCTGCGCCACCCAGGGATCCCTATTTCTCCACTTATTAACAAACTTCTCTAGACCTCACTTTCTCATATTACTATCTTCTTTCCTTGTTCCTATCTGCTGTAAAATTTCTCAAAGTTGTTGATGCTCACTGTCCCTTCCACCCTCTCTTAGACCCATTCCAACCACCAATGACATCCAGGTTACCAAATCAATGGTTGACTCTCTGTTCTCATCTTATTTCATGAGTAAAATTTCACAGTTGATCATTTTCCCCCTTTTCTCTTAAACCTGGTTTTTCTTTTACCTGAGAATACTTCTTAGTGTCCTTTATTGGTTTTTCCTGTATACCCAATCCTCTAATGTTAGAGTACCCCAGGGCACAATGGTTAGTCTTCTCTATCTACATTAATTTCTTTTGTGATCTCAATCAATCTTAGAACTTTAAAAATATTCACATGTTGATCATTAACATTCCACCTTTAGAAGGAATCAAGAAGGGGTACCTGGGTGGCTCAGTTGGTTAAGCATCTGCCTTCAGCTTAGGTCATGATCCTGGAGTCCTGGGATGGAGCCGGTACTGGACTCCCTGCTCAGCAGGGAGCCTGCTTCTTCCTCTCCCTCACCCTCTCCCCCTGCTTGTGCTCTCTCTCTCTCAAATAAACAGACTCCCTGCTTGGCAGAGAGCCCCATTCAGGCTTGATCTCAGGACACTGAGATCATGACTTGAGGTGAAACCAAGAGTTGTACACTTAACCAACTGAGCCACCCAAGCACCACATGATCTGACAAAGATTTTAAAGGAATCATTAGGGGCACCTGGGTGGCTCAGTGGTTGAGTGTCTGCCTTCAGCTCAGGTCACGATCCCAGTGTCCTGAGATCAAGTCCTGCATCGGGCTCCCCGTGGAGAGCCTGCTTCTCCCTCTGTCTATGTCTCTGCCTCACTCTCTGTCTCTCATGAATAAATAAATAAAATCTTTTAAAAAAATTTTTAATAATGCAATCATTATAAAAATGTTTCAGAAAGCAGTAACAGATGTTCTTAAAACAAATGAAAAATTAGAAAATCTCACCAAAGATGTAGAAAAAAGAAACAAAAGGTGACACCAGTGAAATGGCACAGTAAGAATCTCCAAAAATCTTCTCCATCAAAGCAATGAAAAGATTGGCAAAAGTTCTCAAATCAACTTCTTCAAAAATTTGAAAATTAAGCAAAGGCTTATAGTAATGTTTTAAACATTTCCTAAAGAAGACTGAATCTCAGTAAGAACAGAAAGTTTGGTGGCATTTTTATTCCTACCTGTTCACCCCAGCTCCATGGTACCATGAAAAGAAACAGCATGCAATAGTGGTACAAAGCAGTAACCTCTGAAGGGGCCAAATGGGGTTGGGGGCTCTTTAAAATTTTATTCTCTGAGAACTGTCACTGCTTGACCAATCTGGTGGTTCAACAGAAACCTTAGTCACAAGGCTGTCTTCAGTTTTCCTGACTTAGAGCTCAACTAACACAACACTCCCAGGAAGAATGTTGAAAAAATTCAGAGGCAATTGTTTAACATCATGACTGACTGCAGTGGTAGGCAACAGAGCAAATAACAGTCTAACCAAAAAAAGCTTAAAAGGAAAATAGGAGAGATAAGGTGTCCACAGAGGACTCTGAAAAGTTCAAACATATTCCTGAGAATCTATAAAGAAATACTCATAAATAGAACTGTGCCCATGTCGAGTGGCGTATATAAGCTCAGGAAAGATAATGAGAAAGTCCTAAACACTTATATATGGCTAACCTTGAGGCTCTGAGCAAGCAAGAAGTAAAAGCTCAAGGCAGAGTTGCATCCTGCCTGGCTGAGTGTTGAAGACACACCAAAACAAGGCCCTTGACAAAGATTTACTAGTCCCAGGTGTTAAGGAAGCCTCCATCCAATTAAAAAAAGAAAAATAGCCCTTGGGAGTGCCTGGGTGGCTCAGTGGTTTAGTGCCTGCCTCTGGCCCAGGGCGTGATCCTGGAGTCCTGGGATCGAGTCCCACATGGGGCTCCCTGCATGGAGCCTGCTTCTCCCTCTGCCTGTGTCTCTGCCTCTCTCTCTGTCTCTCATGAATAAAAGAAAAAAAAAAAACAATTTAAAAATGAGCAAAAGATCTGAATAAAAATTTCTCTAAAAAAGAAATACAAATGACCAATAACCATGTATGAAAGGATGTCATAAGAGAAATGCAAATCAAAACCACAATGAAATGCCTTCACATCCACTGAGAAGGACATAATTTTAAAAAGATGGACAATAACAAGTGTTGGCAAGGAGGTGGAGGATTCACTGCTGGTGGGAATGTAAAATGATGTAGCCACTTTGGGAAACAGCTTCACAGTTCCTCAAAATGTTAACCATGGAGTTACCAGATGACCCAGCAATTCTACCACTCGGTATATTACCTAAGAGAAATGAAATCATACATCCATACAAAAATTTGTACATGAATGTTCATAGCCACATTCATTATGGTCAAAAATGGCAACAATCCAAATTTCTTTTTTTTTTAACAGTCCAAATTTCATCCGTGGATAAATAAAATGATAAATAGGATAGGATTAGGATAAATAAAATTGTCTAACCAAATGATGGAATATTATTTAACCATTAAAAGGAATGACGTTTTGAAGCATGTTACAACATGAATGAATCTTGAACACTATGCTAAGTGAAAGAAGTCAGTTACAAAATGCCACATGTTGTATTGTGTTATTAAACATATAGACAGGAAATGACTATTAGTGAGTATGGTGTCTTCTGGGGTGATAAAATTATTCTAAAATTAGACAGTGGTGGGGGTCCTTGGGTGGCTCAGCGGTTTGGCGCCTGCCTTTGGCCCAGGTCATGATCCTGGAGACCCGGGATGGAGTCCCATGTCGGGCTCCCTACATGGAGCCTGCTTCTCTCTCTGCCTGCATTTCTGCCTCTCTCTCTCATGAATAAATAAAATCTTTAAAAGGAAAATAAAATAAAATAAAATAAAATAAAATAAAATAAAATAAGACAGTGGTGACAAGTGCATAACCATGAATATCCTAAAGACGCTGAATTGAACACATCAAAATGGGCTAATTTTTTGGTGTGCTGGAACCAGTACATCACTGGTCAGATCAGAAAGGTAAATTCTGAAGACTAAATGGGCAATGTGGAAGCTGAAACAAATATATCCTCCTTTTCAAGTAGTTTGGACAAGAAGGGAAGGAGAATAGTATTAGTGTATACCTGGTATTTCAAGTCCTCTTCTGTATGTCCTATGAAGCATTAGTATTTATCCAAGAGAGGAAATAATTTCAGCTCTAAGATAAATGTAGTATAGTCATTATGGCGTGTGCAGCTGATACATGATGAAGAGGAGGTATCTTTTGGGTTCTTCCTAGCGGTGCTTGGTTTCAGAGTACTGAACTCCATTTTCCTCTCCCGATATATTTGTATATTTAGGGCTCATATTTTGAAACATGATCCTCTAGGTCCAGGAGGAGATAGAGACAAGGACAGAGTAACACATTTGGGGAAAAGGCTACTGTGGCACTTTCTATTCCCTGAAATAAAACAAAAGAGGAAACCCCTAAGTACCCAGAAGGTACTTCCCCACTAATGGTTTTAATATCCCAGCTCTGCTGATTTTTGAAAAATAAGAAACAAAATCAAATGGGGTTTCACTGGGACATGCAGGTGACCTCAAGTTATTGACCACAACCACAACCACACTTCTGAATGGATCTCCATTTAGGGGGAAGAGGAATCTACAGAAAGGATAGTTTTCACACATGCCCTGTTATCTACACAAATATAATTCCTACATTTTCTACGTTTCCTTTTTTTTTTAAGACTTTATTTATGTATTCATGAGAGGCACACAGAGAGAGAGAGAGAGAGAGAGAGGCAGAGACAGGCAGAGGGGGAAGCAAGCTCCACGTAGGGAGCCCAGGACCCCAGGATCATGACCTGAGTCGAAGGCAGATGCTCAGCCACTGAGCCACCCGGCTGCTCCAAGACAGTTGTTTTTTTGTTTTGTTTTGTTTATTTATTTATGATAGGCACACAGTGAGAGAGAGAGGCAGAGACACAGGCAGAGGGAGAAGCAGGCTCCATGCACCGGGAGCCCGACGTGGGATTCGATCCCGGGTCTCCAGGATCGCGCCCTGGGCCAAAGGCAGGCGCCAAACCGCTGCGCCACCCAGGGATCCCGACAGTTTTTTTTTTTTAAGGTCACTTTTCTTTAGTTCTGCTTAGATGCAAAAAGCGGTACCTGCACCTATACCAATATCCGTATCAAAATGATAAATCGTTATGTTATTAAAAGAAAGTGGCTTTGGTCCACACGCTTTATTGAAATGGTTTCGTTTACTAGGCCATCCAGGCTTGCCGAAGCAAAATAACTTGCCAAGGGGCAATAGCAAAACATAATAATAATAATAAAATAAAATTTTTTGTTTTTTGTTTTTTTTTTTTTAGAAAAGGCGGGGCCGCAGGGAGGGGAGCTGTCTGGCTGGGTTCCAAGTCCGGCTCGTGCTTCGTCAACCTCTACCTGTATCTTCAGGACGAAGTCCTCGGGGAGCGCAGGGTAGGGCTGGACGCCAAAAGTACACTCGAAACGACCAACCGCAAGTCAGCGGCCTTTGGAAGGCTGTTACAATGCGTCCCGGCAACGGTCCTAAACACTCCCATCTGCACGAGGTTGTATTTTCGCTCGTAACAACCACCCGGGAAGAACGACACCGGTTCCCAAACCAGGAAGCCGAAGAAAGGTGGAGATGCCCGAATTAAGGGAAGGCAGCCAGTTCCCACGACCCGCAGCACCGTCCAGGTGGAGCAGGGGGCTGGAGTGAAATCCGGCGCGCTCGCTCCCTGCTAACTGCGAGGGGAGGGGGGAAAGGGCCCTCAAGACCCTGGGACCACGGAACCGGAAAGACTCAAGCAGCCGCCGCCAGCCCCTTCCTCGCCCCGGGGCGGCCGGCCCCGCCTTCCGCATCCGGGCTCCCCGCCTTCCGCATCCGGGCTCCCCCGCCGCCGGAACCCAGCCCCCCACACGCCCCACCCCTTCCGGAATCCCGCCCCGCACGTTCTCCTCCCGGCGCTCACCAGCATGGGGACCCCGTAGCGCAGGGTCTTGTTCTTGCGCAGGGCGCGCAGCAGCGCGTGGACAGACATGTCTGAGCTTTTCCGCGCACGCGGACGCCTAGTCCAACGGGCCCAGCGCGGCCTCCCGAATCCAAGCTCCCTCCCCAGGAGGGAGACCTTGACTTCGTCTCCTTGCCCTGGCCTCCCGGCGCTCCGTCCTCCCCCGTTAGGCCTCCGCCAGGCCAAAGCAATCGATGCGTCGTAACACGCTCGCGCGTCCGGGCGGAAATTCCAGGGGTTCGTGATTTGGTTCCGGAGCTCTGGTTAGCAGAGGGGACTTAGAGACCCAAGCCGTGTTTGTAATCATCATCAAGTGATGTGGAAACCTGTACCTCCCACGTTGTGGGTCTGGACCAGCGTCTTCTGACGTTCCTTAGCATATAGCCGCTCTATAAAATCAGCTGAGAAAAAAAAAAAAAAGAAAAGGTTAACTGTGGAGATGGGAATGCAGCTTCTGGTTCTCTGCCTCTTTGTGGGGTGGGGAGTTTACCGAGTTAGTAAAGATTTTTTTAGGAATAAATACATCACCACAAAATGGTAGGTTGTGTGGCAGTCAGTGTAGTGCCTTGATATCGCTGAACAACTTTAATGCACGTGCTTTGACTACTACATAGCTCGTAATCTTCAGTCTATTTACGAATGTCTATTTTCCACTCATTCTGCAACATTTTTGCAGATCATTAGAAGGTTTGAGGAAAACAGATGAAAAGAGACGATCTCTGCTTTAAAGAAGCTGGCAGGTTGGTGGGCAAATGAACGTGTGGCTTCATGACCACAGTTGCTTAGGACACAGCCCCCACGTGCCATTTGCGGGGTGAGTCAGAGGCAGCCTCACCTACCAAGTACTAATTGAGATGTCAATACTATAGAAAATGCAACATTTCCCATGTTATCCCTGAGATCTTCCCATCTCTCCCTGCCTCTCTTGCCACTGAAATGTTCCTGGTTTAATCCCTTGTCATCTTTCCACATATTGAAGTCACCCCTAAGTGGTCTTCGGAAGAGAAACTCCAGCTCTACCTTTCAACTGTTATAATAGCACCCATATCCATAGGCCCAACTAGGTCAAATGTGGGGAAAAAAAAAAAAGACTAAACTAAAAAACAAACATAACCTTCTTCAAAGAAGTTATCTAAAAAGCATAAACGATGAGATGCTCCTGGTTGGTTTTATTGGTCTGCTTGCCTACATGAGTTACTCCAATTTTCTTAGCAAGGAATTGAAGGTCCTTTATGATATGACTTTGGCCTGCCTTTTCTGCTTCTCTTCTTCTTTCACTCCATACTCCCATCTTGGAGGAGATATTCCCTGAATATTGCGTTAACTTCCACATCTTCTAATGCATGCAGCTTTGGGGAGAGCAGGTTCTAAAAGCCTCCCTTACCCCACAGGTGGTACAGGTGATTCCCTCCTCAAGAGCTCCAGGAGCCTGTGGCCAATATGTATCACAGAACATTATCACACCGTATTATCAGTTTTAGTGTATAAAGTCATAGTTGGTCCAAACAGCATATAAGCAAGATCAAAACAGGAGAGAGGGAAAGATACTTCAGAGTTTGAAGTTGAACCTTGGGGTTTAATTTTTGGTTCTGAGGCTGAGGAAATGAATCAAACCTCCCCATCCCCTACCCCTTGTTCCCCCAAAGAAGCATCTACGTGAGCTGAGCCAAGGGAGATTTTTAACTGATAGGACAAGCTTGATTAAAGTGAGACTGAAGTTTTATAACCCCTATTTCTCCAATCTTCTGTCACCCCAATTTCTCCAAGGAAGAGACACCTTGCAAATCTGGGGACTGAAGCAATAAGGTGGAAGCACTTAACCTGAGAGGTTAAGTCAAACTGCACTGTGGGGAGTGCTGGAAAAAAATTATGTCAATTCATGGGAAAGAGGAGCAGTCACAGAAGGCAAGAGAATTTAGGATTGGAGGGATGGGCATATAAAGAGCGTTGCTATGGCTTATGAACAGAGTCTCCTTGAATGTGATATTTTGTACTTTATTTTGAATTATTTGTTGCTTTTTGTTGTATGTTTGTTTACTTCATCTCTCTGCAGAGAAGGAACCATGTAGGGCCATAGGATTTTAAATTAGAGAATATATTGTGAAGTATGCCAGACTTGCACATGGTTTTGCCTCCTTTCTTCATTCACTTCTTTTTGATAGTTCAGAATTCATAGAGCATCCTGGTTAGGTAAGTATTATTTCTCCCACTTTCCCTCTGATCCTAGATGTCAAGGGCACTGTTCTAAAGACCAGGCCTTTTCCTCTTTTTCACTACATGAAAACATCACCCTACCAGACCTGACACCAATAAAGCCCTACATTCAGCTGTGTTAATAATGGATTAAGTCATATACATATATTCTAGGTAATGCTGTAGCTAATAATCTGTACCCTTTCTGGATAAAACATATATTCAGGGCAGCCCCGGTGGCTCAGCAGTTTAGCGCTGCCTTCAGCCCAGGATGTGATCCTGGGGACCCAGGATTGAGTCCCTCATTGGGCTCCTTGCATGGAGCCTGCTTCTCCCTCTGCCTGTGTCTCTGCCTCTCTCTCTCTCTCTCTCTCTCTCTCTCTCTCTCTCTCTCTCTCCATTTCTCATGAATGGATAGATGAAATCTTAGAAAAAAAACCCAAAAGATTGAAAAAAAATATATTCAATTTAGGTAAATACAGGTCTTCAGTCTCTCATTTGCTCATTTAAATAAGCATGTATTGGGCACCTGGGTGGTTCAGTCAGTTAAGCAACTGATACTTGGTTTCCGCTCAGGTCATGATCTCAGGGAGATTGAGGTCCATGTCAGATTTGCTGCAGAGCAGGAGTCCGTTTGAGATTCTTTCCATCCCCCTCTGCTTGTGTACAAGCTCAGGCTCAGGATCCTGTACTCGGGCTAGCTCATATACTTGGGCTTGCTCTCTCTTTAAATAAATAAATAAATAAATAAATAAATAAATAAATAAATATTTAAAAAAGCACTTATTGAGAAACTTGAGGTAGCCCTCAAGGAGCAGCTGGAAGATTGTCAGCAGACAAAATTTAGAGCAGTGAGGAATTTATTTTTTAAAAGATTTCATTTATTTTAGACATACACAGAGAGAGAGCACAAGTAGGGGGAGGAGCAGAGGGAGAGGGAAAAGCAGATCTTGGCTGAGCATGGAGCTTGACTTGAGGCTTGATCTCAAGATCTGACAATCATGACCTTAGCTGAAATCTAGAGTCTGATGCTAAGCCAACTGAGGTGCTCCACAAGCAGTGAGGAATTTAAATGCCTAACAAATAATATTATATAAGTGATAAGCTCTATTGTTTATGCTTAGTGCTCACCTTAAGCACTACTACTGTACCTCAGTTTCTCTGTTAAATCAGAGTATGTGATATTTGGCATCATTTTTATAATTCTTACAGAAAAACAAGATTATTCATCAGTATAGGCTCTGTTGCCTTCTCAGAAATACGACTCAAATCACAGTCACAATGTTGACTCAGCCATCTTAACTGTCATACTTTGAAGTGAGAGGCTATAAAAATGTATATCCAAAAAACAAGGCATCTCCACCACCCATGCCAGTCCTTTAGGACTGGTATGTTTTTATTATCTAAGAAAGTTATATTATCCTACAACATCTGCTATATCATCACTTAACTCATGCAAGTATATAGGAGCATTCTTATCAAAATTACCAGTCTTGAGAGCTTTAGCACTAAGGTTAGGTTTTAGAACTGTGGCCACATTTAATGGCTATGAGTGTAGAAAGATTGGTTACTTCATGAATCTTTGGTTTCGTAATTAACATCTAGTATCTAAGCTGATTCACTCAAAAAAAAAAAAAAACCTTATAAGGTTTAGAAGAGCATGATTCCAGACCCATTTTACAGGTGAGCAAATTGAGGCTCAGAAAGGTTAAGAGATTTGCATAAGGTCAAAACTTTGTAAGAGTACAAATGCCCCAGCTCGAACCAGATGTCTATAACATTTGATGATATTAACTACCTCGTTCTTGAAATCTCCTCCTGTGGTTTCTGTGGATGTTTGGCTCTCATGGATCCTCTCCAACTTTGAGGCTTGTGTTCCTTAGCCTTACACACCTTAAGTTGGAGTCCTAGCCCTCCGCTGGTTTTCTGTCCGTCCCAGAGACTCTCAAAGTGTAGTGTGCACACAATCCCAGGGACAGTTTACCAAAACACAGATTACTGGGCCCCCTCCCCAGTTTCTGATTCAATAGCTCTGGGATGGCTTGGATGGCTTGAAAATAGACTTTTCTTTCTTCCTTTTTTTTAAATATTTTATTTATTTATTTATTTATTTATTTATTTATTTATTTATTTATTTATTTATGAGAGAGAGAGAGAGAGAGAGAGAGAGAGAGAGAGAGAGGCAGAGACACAGGCAGAGGGAGAAGCAGACTCCATGCAGGGAGCCTGATGTGGGACTCAATCCCAGGACTCCAGGATCACGCCCTGGGCCAGAGGCAGGCACTAAACCGCCGAGCCACCCAGGGATCCCAAAAATAGGCTTTTCTAACAAGTTTTCATCTGCTGCTGCTGGTCTGGGGACTACACTGTGAGAAACACTGCTCTGTCCTTGTTCCTCAGGCTCTATCCTCTTTCCCTAGGTAAACTCAACTCTTGCTTTGGCATCAAGTTTTATCATGGTGTGGATGACTTCTGGTACATTTCCAACAGCGTAAATGGTTTCTTACACCTCAAAGTCAACATGCCACAGAGATTTCTTTTTCACTTTCTTTTCTTTCTTTCCATTCCTTTCTTCCTTTTCCTCTTCTTGTTTTGGGTCCTTCCCTCCATTCTATCTAATTTCTATGGCTAGAACTAGAGTGGCTAAGAGTTGGCTACTCAGTTTCCAATTCAGTCCAATCAAATCAGTTAAAAGTAAGCTTTGGACATTATTCAGCTAGGAAATCAATTGTTTCTCCCTTCATGCACATTTCTCTTATGGTAGTGATCATTAACATTATAGTTTTAGAATTATTGCAGCATTTATCTTATTACTTCTTATGGAATATAAGCTATGGGATGAATGGGACCATGTCTAATACATTTCTGTCTTCCATGACTTCCTTTGTAGTCCTAAACCACAATGCATAATTTCTGGGGGAAAAAAACAAATAAAATGGCAACAGGAAAGGTGACAAGAGCTTCCCATACATGCTATACAGTGAAGACTTTCTAAGTAGTGATCCCTAAACCAAACAAAAACCTACTCAGTAACACCATGGAGAGACTCCAAGGTAACTCTCCTGTACAAAAGTGTTAAAGATCTCCTCTGTAGATTAATGAAACCAAAATATTGATGAAATTTAAAGTTAACTGCATTGTCTCAAAGTGCAGTATTAGTGGATTACAACAAATTTCATCATGTAGAGCAAATCAGGAAAACTCTAATCTTCCAATGGCCATGAGACTAAAGCCTATTTGAAAACTTTCTAAATATTGTCAGTTAACTAAGTAGGCAAATGTGTGCTTTTGTGAAATAGGATTTTATCTATTGAAATTTACGTTTGAAAAACAGCTGTGTAGGGGCGCTCTGGGTGGCTCAGTCAGTTGAGTGACTGACTCTAGATTTTGGCTCAGGTCATGATCTCAGGGTTGTGGAACTGAGCCTTGTATCCAACTCTGGGCTCAGTGAGGAGTTTGCTTGAGATCCGCTCTCTTTATCTCCCTCTGTCCCTGCCCTGCTCACATGTGTTCTCTCTCACTCTCTTTCTTAAAAAAAATAAATAAATCTTTAAAAAAAGTTAAAAATCATTGTACATATAAAGTTTCCTATAAATCAAAACATGCAAACCCAATAAAACTAGAACTTGACACCTCAAAAGTTAATCTACTTCCTAAAGTAACCATTGCAAAATCAAGTAACACTTTTACAAATTCAAATTTTTTCTAGTTTTATTGGTATATAATTGAGATATAACAGTGCATAAGATATTTTTAAAGATTTTATTTATCTGTTGCAGAGAGAGTGTGTGTACTAGCGGGGGGAGGGGGCAAAGGGACAAGCAGACTCTCCACTGAGCTCAGTTCCAGGACCTTGAGACCGTAACCTGAGCAGAAGGCAGATGCTTAATTAATTAATTAATTAATTGATTAATGTGTATGCCATAATCATTTGATTAAGGTACATATTGTGAATCATCACCAGAGTAAATTTAGTTAAGATCCATCACCTCACACAGAGTATTTCCTCCTGTAATAAGAACGTTTAAGATTTCCTATAACATTATCAATAACACCATTTTGAATAATCCCCAAACCATGAAAGATACCAAACTAAAAACTATAAGTTTCGTGACAATCAATAAAAAAGAAAAAACCTATGATTTTAGATGATAGAAAATAAATATTTGACTTGTAAAGAAAAAGAACCCCTCCAAAATGAATGAAAGTATAGAGGATTAGTCAAAATAAAAGCTATAATAAAAGGCATCCCTGGGTGGCGCAGCGGTTTAGCGCCTGCCTTTGGCCCAGGGCACGATCCTGGAGACCCGGGATCGAATCCCACGTTGAGCTCCCGGTGCATGGAGCCTGCTTCTCCCTTTGCCTCTCTCTCTCTCTGTGACTATCATAAAAAAAAAAAAAAAAAAAAAAAAAAAAAAGCAAGCTATAATAAAAGAAATGGAGAAGAAAACCAGAAGAGTGGATTAATATAAAACCAAAAGCTGGTTATTAGAAAGAGTCAACTCATAGATTGAGGAAAAAATATTTAAATCTGTTAGGAATGAGACAGAAAACAGAAACATTTCTAGAAGAAAGTAAAAAAGATTACCAAAAAAATTTCAAGTTCTATTACAATGCATTAGACACCTACAGAAATTGATGTTTTTTTGATAAAACATAAAGGATCATTTAAAAGTCAAACATACCAATTACTGAGGAAATTGGAAATTTGCCATTAAGAAGGACTAGGCTCAGGACGCCTGGGTGGCTCAGCGGTTGAGTGCCTGCCTTTGGCCTAGGGCCTAGGGTGTAGTCCTGGGGTCCTGGGATGGAGTCCCACATCAGGCTCCCTGCATGGAGCCTGCTTCTCTCTCTGTCTCTCTCATAAATAAATAAAATCTTTAAAAAGAAGAAGAAAAAGAAAGACTAGGCTCTTGGCTGTGATATAGGGGAAAAATTCATCCTGAGTCAAGCCAGAACTAAATTTCCAAACTCCAATGAAAAACTATAGTCTTTCTAGCAACAGCAGGGTGAGTAGATTGGGCAAGGTTTAACAAAAGTGGAAATAAGATATATTTTACTTATTTCTCAACATCCATCACAGCACATGCTCCCTTTACAAAGGATAGTAGAGAAAAGGAGAAAGTAGAAAATAGGATGTGAAGAGAAAGGATAAAGCATCCCTTTGACAGATACTTTATGGTCTTACACTTCTTATCTAAAAGAATTAAACTCTACTTAGCACATCCACAGAAAAACCAAATTTATTTAAAATCTAAAATAAGTTTCCAGGTGCACCTGGGTGGCTCAGTTGGTTAAGCATCTGCCTTCAGTTCAGGTCATGTTCTCAGGGTCCTAGGATCGTGCCCTGTGTCAAACCCTGCATTGGGCTCCCTGCTTACTGGGGAGTCTGCTTCTCCCTCTCCCCCTTGCTCATGCTCTCTCTCTCAAAATGAATAAGATCTTTTAAAAAATGCTAAAATAATGCTGAGATAAAGAAAACCGTTTTATACTTTCCCGATCTCAGCAGCCTGTCATTCACTTTGTTCTAGCCAAGACAAGCACTAAGTGACTCCTAATGATGCTGTTAAATTTCCTTATACTTGTACTCTACCTGCAACCAGACCAAGGTTAAACAGTTGTTTCTTGGGGTGCCTGGCTGGCTCAGTTGATTGTCTGGCTCTAGATTTCAGCTGAGGTCTTGATCTCAGGGTCGTGAGTTCAAGCCCCGCATTAGCCTACTTAAAAAGAAACAGAAGGAAAGAGCATGTGTTTCCTATACCCTCATCCCCATACAAAATTTTATTTCTCCTCTATTAGGTTCTTTTTGGGGACTATTATATAGGTAGTTTTACTGTACCTTAAAGAAATTTGCCATTTCATGAATATCACAGCCTTTTCCTTCTGACTGCACGGTCATAGGGCTTATACTAACTTCTTTTGCTAGTTGTATGAAGGCTTCTGGAAGCATTTGCATTCTTAAGGCCTGTCCTTTATGAGGACAGAGTGCAAAGCTTCTTACTGTGTATATATATTGGTGTCTGTCAAAAAAGAATCATTTTCTGTGTAACCCCAGAATTGATGCCCAGGGAAAAATTAGAAGTCTAAGGATTGGAGACTAGAGCACTGATGAGAAAATGAAGTAAATTTGAAAACAAATGTAAATGCATAAGTTGGTATTAGAAACAGGATCTAGCATTTGTAGAACTCCTTTAGACACTTTTTTTTTTTTACAATATAGGTTGTTACAGTATCAAGGGCATCAGTCAAGCACATCAAGTACTTTATGTGTGTGTATATAAATATCAAGATCAGGCAACTATGGCAGTTAAGAACCTGGTTCTGATCAGAATTCCTTAAAATACTGTCTTTCTTTTGATCACAATTGCCCTTTTGGATGTGAGTGATGGTCTCAAAAGATCTGCTTATAGATCAAAGTGAAACAGAAAAAGGGGCTTCTTTCAGGATAGTAGCCAACTCTAAATCTATTATATGTAAGAGGTTGAGAGCTTTGTAACTTATCTTCTAGATGGTGTTAGCAAAATACATGGAGAATACTAAAACCTCAGATAATGAGCTATTTCAGCTTAGTGACTAGAGCTTATTCATCTCTGTATCTTCAGCAACTAGTACATAGTAGGCACTCATGCACTGAAGGAAAAATTTTACCCTCATCTGTCCAAAGATAAATGGACTAAAATGGACTAGAATAAAATCTTTATTGGCTCCACATGAAATTACATGAATGCCACTTCCCCCCACCGCCCATACTTGACAGCCTGTTTATGTTGTTCCATTTCTTTAAATATACTGTTTAAATTGCTGTTTCCACAATAAAAACAATGTCCAACATCAAAAAATACACTAGTCACAGAACTCATGTGATTGAATTTTACATTAGGGCTTTCGGAGGTTATTCTGTGGAATCTCCCAGTTCTGCATGAGTTTGCAATCCCCAGTCGTTATTCAAGGCCCAAGAGAAATATAGAAGTGAATTGAGATAAAAAGGATAATTTCATCTATGTTCATGTAGTGGATACATTCATGATATAAATAGGAGACAGAAAGGGCACCTCTGTAACAGACTGAGTCTTTGATAATAGTTTACCTCTCTGAGCTTTGATTTTTCATCTCTCAGATAGACTCATCCAGAATCTTTCTCATTCCCTTTTAGCGCCAATATTTTTTATAGCGCCAATATTTTTTTTAAAGATTTTATTTACTTATTCATGAGACATACAAAGAGAGGCAGAGACACAGGCAGAGGGAGAAGCATGCTTCCATGCAGGAGCCCGATGCAGGACTCAATCCTGGAATTCCAGAGGCAAAGGCAGATACTCAACTGCTAAGCCACCTAGGCGTCCCTAGCTCCAATGTCCTTTGATTGGGTTCTAATTTAATAGATGCACAAACTGAAAAACTAATACATTTTGCTGGCCAGTCCTTAGCAAATAAGCCGTAGAATGCTCCACTTCTTATTCCACATCTGTACTTGGGCAGAAGCTCAGAGAGCTGGGCTCTTAAAAGGCCCAAGTGAAATTCTCATTTTACCTTGGAGGGCATGCCTGTATATGATTTGATAATTTATTTTTTAAAGTTTTTATTTAGTAATTTAAATGCCACAGGGCATTGTTTGGTGACATTGCATAGTGGAATCACATGATAAACTTGAGTTCACTGCTGCCTGAGTCCCATCCCCAGAGATTTTATTTGAATGGTCTATGTGCAACCAGAATTTTATAAGCTATTCAGATGATTCTAACCTGAGAAAAAGGGGACAACTATTGGCATAGAGCAGTGATTCCCAAACTTTACCGCGAATCAGTCACCTGGAGGTATTGCTAAAACAGATTGCTGGGTGCTGTACACAGTGTGATTCAGTAGGTCTGGGGTGAAGCCCAAGAATTTACTTTTCTAACAACTTCCTCAGTGATGCTGATGCTTTTGTTGAGAGCTGCTGCCAGTGAGAAATATCATTGACAGTGGCACCTGAAGTCCTAAGTTATATCCTGATTCTATCATTAACCTATCTGTAATCTTAGGGAAAGTAATTTATTCTCTTTTCTTTAGTGTCTTTTTAACAATACTTAGATCTCAGAGTGGTGAGTCATGAACAAATAGTGTACCCACTGTGATTAGTAGACTACCTGCCACAAAATGCAGTATCAAATATTAATTTCTTTTTTCCATCACACATGGCAAGATGGCGTGAGCAATTAAGTTAAATCAATTGCACATATTAAAACTTGGAAGGAAAAGAGAGACAACTGAAGCAAACAATGTCTTATCAAAATCATAGGTGTCATAGAAGATGATAAATACAGAGAAGTGTTTTCAGCATATTGTCTTAAAATTACTTTCAATCTTCAAAACTTTGAACATAGTAATTTAGGTAGCAGGAATATTTGATAAAATCTATAAAGTGAAAGAAACTTAGATTCAATCTATAAAGATCATGAATCTTTTTAATGACCTACAATGGACTCTGATACCTCATCTAGGACAATAGTTTCTTAAAGAATCAGAAATAAAAACTGAATAGCATACTTGCCTAAAAACTTTAATCATGGATCTTTAAATGCTACTTAATTCCAAAGAAAATCTAAATTATTAAAGTGCATAAGAATCCCTAATTATTAAACAAAGCAAAACTTCTACCAACAAAGAGATAAGGGTCCGTTCTATTTACATCTACCAACAAATAAAAAAACTAGATAGCTTTCCCCCTGCTTGCCATTTGCTTCATTCTGAGTATCTCAAGGTCCTCTCAGGAGTTAATGTCCAAACCCTGAGATGAATCCTGGGAGGGAAACAAGTACACTGCAGAAACTGCTGCACAAGTCTCCAGATGCAGGGAGGGGCAGGGCTTGTGTCCCCACAGCAGCGCTGTCTGAGGTGAGACCTGGAATACTGTGTGTCGCTGACCTACAGGGGCAGCTAAGTGAGGCTGGAAGATACTGAATACTTGGGGTCTAAGGCCTCAGTCCTATCAGGATTGTTTAAAGCAAGTTTCTCCCTGTACCAGTCTTACGAGGGTTATTTTTATAAGCCTTCCCTTTCTGCTCTGGCCTGATCCCATATGTGACAGCTTTCTTTTTTGGAATTCCTGAATAGAAAAATAGGATGGCTGTCTGCTCATCTGTTGCTACGTCGTATTCTGAATTTTTCCCACTTATTGTTTTTGACTGTCACTCAACCTGATAATATACTTTTACTCATCTATTTATGAAATCTCCTAACTAGACCCTGAGCTCCTCTAGGGTCCTTAATTTGTCCTCTTCCTCCATAGAATTTTCTCTTGTGTCTTGAATCTCAGTAATCATTCCCTTTTGCTATCCACAATATAAATGTGATCTTCTTTGTAAAAGTGCCTTAACAAAGCTGGTGTCCAAGCAGCAGCTCTAAAACACTTACTGGATTATCCATGCTGAAAATTGGACACAAATGATTGCCTCAGGGAGTCTTCATACTCTTGCCAGGATTATATAAGGGCTATAGTCTGGCCAGTATGCTTGGAGGATGGAAATTATTTTTTTAAAGCCAGAGAATTAGCCTTGGTTTAGCTCTTAGTGCTTTAAAACCAATGTTTGCTATCAAATGAACAGAATGTGGTTCCCACCTCATTAATATCCGTGGGCATCCTGAGCATCCATTCAAACATATCCTTCTCTCAAGGTTTCCCCACGAAACATCCACCAAACTTCCCTACCCACAAAAACAATAAAACCTCTTTTCTTCTTCCCTGCAAAAACGGTTTACTCATTAGAAGCCAAAGCCGGTGTTTAGAGCCATTCAAAAAACCCCTGCAATCCAAACCCTCTCAACTGAATCAGAAGCAGAGCTGATTTCATGTGCATCCTGCCGGAGAGCAGTTCCTGCTCTCAATTTGCCTATTACTAGAAACCAAAAAGTCTATTAGATGGCCTGAGAGGGTTCAGGGGCTACCCTGGAAGCATTATCCTTTTGTCTTCTAGTTTTTTTTTTCACTGGGTTGGTTTGGCTGCATCACCAAAGCTCTGACCACAGTTTTCTAGCTGATCCTTTACTAGGACTATGAGGTATCAGAAAAGTGACTAGGAAGGCCCAGAAAACCGGTAAGATTTATCTCTCTAAATTTCAAAGTTTGGGGAACAGATGGACTTCACAAAGCTGGATTATGGCATACTTCCACTTCCGAAGCATAGCTAGTATAAGAAATATTTTTCTAAGATTTTTAATTAGTTGCTTCGGTTTTTCTTTTTTCTTTTTAAAATGACTCAGATTGGCCATCCTCTTTCAAGGCTTACTCTCTCACTCCTGCTATATATCAAATTCTTCCATTAAGAACTTCCCTTATATCAGAAACCTGAAACCACAGAGCAGCTTTCCACCTTTTTAATTCTCCATAAGGCATTACTATCATACTGTCATGTATGGATGTATGTGTGCACACACACTTGCTTTTTTAAAAAAAGTAAAAATGCTGTCATTATCCTGTATTTCATATAGGCACCCAAGTATGTAGATAGAAATTAAATAAAGGCCATAAAAACTTCCAAGAAGATCATTAAGAAGAAAAATCCTCTCTTCTCTTCTATCACAGAGCTGGCCTTTGAGGCATGCCAGCTAAGAGAAAGGTATCACCCGTGCTGATGGGAAGACTGGACTGTTCCCTCTTTGGGTTGTAGCTGAACTTCTATTGGTGGTCCTAGCAAAATATGTAACTCCCCATTTGTTCTAGGCAGGTCTTTTCTTCAGTCTTCTTTCAAACAATGCCTTCACTCTCCCATGAGATATGAGGATGTGGAGATTTGGGATAGCGAGGTCCTGTTTGGGTAGCAGTCTCTGTCAATGATGTGTTGGCTGTGCAGAGAGAGGGAAGGATATGGGAGAATGGCAGGGGACGAAGGTGAGAGGGAGAGAGAAATGTGTCTTCTATTGGGAGCACTGGAAGAGACTAAGCTTTTCAAAGTTGCTGCCGGTATTTCATGAAGGCCCAGGCTGCTATCACGGTGAGGGCGAACACTGGCACCAGCACCAGAGCTATGGGGATGCCACTTGGCTCCCCTTCACTTCGATGTCCTAGAGGCCCGTTCTGCACTTGTACCTGGAAGGGAGAAAAAAACGTTAACTCTAGTCACCAATATGTATTTACCCCAACCAAGGGGTCCAGCTTGACCCGTTACCTGGGTCTAGACCACCCAAAGCTGTCACCTCCAAGCACTACCTGGCAGGAGTCCTCTCGGTTTGTTCTAAATTGATGCATCAGTGTCAATTTTTTGGAAAGAAGTCTGATGGGGAAGCATTTAACCTTGCTGTGCGATACTGACCCAAAGGGACCCAAGGGAGAGCAGATAACCTCTTTCTGTTTTTCTACTGCCTCAACCAAGCTCTCTGTGTATCATATTAGGAAAATGAAGATACAAGATGAAACCTATTGATCCTGTAGGGAACCTTGAAATTAGTGGGTGGGGGCAAGGGGTGCCCACCTTCCTAGAAATGTTTACTTAGAAAGACTGCCAGTCATCGGAAAGCAATAAGGGCATATCTGAACAATGTTAACACAGGTACAGTGCCATTTTTGGAAATACTTTGCAATTCCCAAAAGGCACCCACTCCCTCCTGACATGGGGTCATGTCCTTCATCTCTATTTTCTAACACTGCACACAGATAAAGAGGAAACATCATTTTCCACTGCCTAAGCATTCCCTTTTGAAGCTGGTAGCATTTCTTCATATTAACTTTTTTTTCTTTAGTGAGTAAGTGAATGGGGTGGGGGAAGGGGTAGAAGGAGAGAGAGAATCCTAAGCAGGCTTCCTGCCCAGCGTGAATCCCAATGCAGGAATCAATTCCATGACCTTGATCATGACCTGAGCTAAAACCAAGAGTCAGATGCTTAACTAACTGAGCCCCCCAAGCGCCACTCTTCATATTAACTTCTAATAGCTAACTTCCAACAGTTACAGTACCATCTTGTTTCAGTTCAATATAACCTCTTTATAACCCGTGTTCCTTCCATCTAAAAGACAATGCTGTAGACTTAGCTTTTCTATCCTCTAGCCTACTGCTGTATTTTTCACTTACTGTTCAGATGTCCCGAGGGCATGCTCAATAGTAAGATGTGGTTTTTAGGGCTAGGCCAATTTTCTGACCAGAGTTTTATTAGGAGTTACTATGTTTTATTAGGGGTTATTTGTGGATGTTTCCCAAAAATGTGAACTTTGAAAATAATTTTCCACATTTCTTCAAAAAGAACTCTCATCATACCTGAAGTGTATACCTACATTCATTACTTGCCTTTACCTATTGCATAAAGCCTTCCATGCTTTAGAAACAGAAGAGCTAAGGCAGAAGCAGCTGATTACCAATATTGTTTCCTATCAACCTGTTTTCTAATTCATCACACAGATTCTGCTTGCAACCCTGGTATCTTTCATGCCCCTTCCACTTTGTAAACTCTCCTGTCAAACTCTTCCTCAGCCTTTGAAGCCTCACTCAAGAGCTGAGTGGGGCAAAGACAGCATCATTTAAGACAGCACATTGAGAGTGTGTGGTAAATGTACCATGGGAGTCCCTAGTGCCATGGGAGGACTTAGTTCTCCCTGGCTTCTCTCCCCATCATCCAAATTATTTAACACTAGGAACTAAGAAGTGGATGCAGGGAGAGGTGCGACTATGACTCAATTCTGAATTCGATTTTCTTTTTCCTGGAGCTCCTCTTTGAGCACTAGAGCTTTGGTCAAGAGGGTCACCAAGATGACAAGAAAAGGGTTCCTGGTGATGATCAGGAAAAGCACACAGTGGCTATCAGAAAACCCACCACCTCCACACTTCAAGCTTCATTAGTATGTTCAAGGGCATACAGGTTGCCTTCCCTGCTGAAAAATGAAATTGATTCTGGTTGTATTTTCTCATTTATTTTAATTTGGTTGTCAAGCTTTACGCTTAAAGCATATTGCCTGGAAGCTAGGATCCAGGCTGCAAGCAGACTGTTTGAATTTCCTTTCATGATAAGCAGAAGTCCCTGAAGACCCAGGCCTGTGCCAGACAAGCTCCTCAAGAATGAGAATGAAATAAGAAAAAAAAAAAAAAAAAGCAAATGCACTACTGAACATTATACTATATGCTTTATTCCCAAGAATGACACAAAAGCTTGGTGCCAGCTTGCTGGTTGCAAATAACACCTACCCTGTGCTGCACTCTTAGGGACACAGCATAGCCTGCATTACGAAAGAGGTCTACAGCATCCTGGTGCAGTAAGTTCCTTAGGTCTTGGCCATTTACCTGTCAAAAACAGCAAGTAGTTGAGAGGTAGAATCGTAAGTCAAAGATTTACATTCATGTGACTAAACATTTAAAAACTAGAGAGCTAATTCCAAGGGCTAGGAGAATGGGTCAGGTTATGTAGAGCTGAGTAACTTTTTCACTTTCAAAGCGGTTTTCCTAGAGCTGAGGTTCCCTGGGCCCTCTGAAAAACACCAAGGTTAAAAAAAAAAAAGTAGTTTCTCCTTCACCTTAGCTCCTGCTGCCTGTCTCATTTTGACATTTGGGTCTCTGTTACTGTACTTGTGTGTCTTCCATGAGCATCAGCCTGCTTCCCTATAGCTAACATGGTCTTCTGGGTTACCATCTGATCCTTTACATTCCTAATCCTTGGCATTGTCAGCTTCAACTCTAGAAATATAACTTTATGAAACTCTAGTAATATAACTACGAAACAATTTTCTTGATGAGGTGTAAACCTACTGGCCCATTCTGTTGGTCTTGTCCAATTGTGGACAACTTCCCTTGATTCCATGGATACTCCCATTCTCCTCCAATTTACTAATCATACAAAATTTCTTTGATGAAACAAACTCCTAAAAAATTTTTAAGGGTAGGTCAGCCCTACCATTTAGAGGTGAGAGATGACCAGTGATGTTAATACTCTTTAGTGTTAGGAGTGACTGTCCATAAGTGATATCTACTCTATGCTGTACTGACACAGCATAGCCCACCTTATGCAAGATCTACACATCTTTTGTACACATCAATGTCATTAACAGCAGCAAGAACACCTAATGGTTTTACTTGTTAGGTTCTGTGCTGAATGCTTTATATATACTGTTTAATGTAGTTCTCACAATAATCCTATGAAGTAGACACCATTTTTATCTTGTTTTCACATATGAAGAAACTGAAGCTTAGCAAGGTAGATAATTCACCCAAAGTCATAGTAAGTGTAGGAGCTAGGCCTAGTGTTTTTAAATACCAGAAGTAAAGGTACAGTGCCCCTGCAATTTACTGTTCCTTCTGCACTATTATTCTTCAACCTTGACTCACAAACTATTCTTAGCTGAAACTCAAGCCATTGACTAATTCAAGCCTCTGATCTTCCTTGTTACTGTTTCCCTTCTCCAAGAGGTTCATATTGTTCCTCCAATCTCCTGCCAAAGTCCTTGGTGAATTAATCTAACAACACTTTGGCATTATAGATTATCTAACTTCCCAAATTAATAGTTTCCTGTCCTATTCCACTTTAGTTACCAACTGGCATAAGCCTTTGACTTCAACATTAGGCACGCTTCAGCTCCAAGATCTCAAACTCTTAGAAAACTGATCAAAATTTCTACGCACTTCATACTTTCTATTCCTCTACTGAATCTGCTCATTATCCTCATCAAAATCTTTAACCTTTTTAGACTTTACTTGCATGCATCCTTACCCATCTAAGAGTTCTTGCTGTTATTTCAACAAAGCACTTGGTTATTATAATCCCTTGTCCCTATGATTTTCTAATTTTTTTTTTTTTTTTATGATAGTCACACACAGAGAGAGAGAGGCAGAGACACAGGCAGAGGGAGAAGCAGGCTCCATGCACTGGGAGCCCGATGTGGGACTCGATCCCGGGTCTCCAGGATCGCGCCCTGGGCCAAAGGCAGGCGCTAAACCGCTGCGCCACCCAGGGATCCCTATCCCTATGATTTTCTTCCATCTTTCCAGTCCTGCACAACACACTGCATTTGTTTTCCTTATCATCACTGAGTTTAATATTCCTGGGGAAAATACACACACACACACACACATACACACACACACACACCTTCCAGCACAGATCCATCCATGCTGGCTGACACTTCCATCTTTATGCCCTCTCTACTCACCTGGTGAACTCCCTAATGAATTCCCAGCAGCAGCTATTCCAGACCTTTCCAGTCATTAAACCCTAACTCTGATCCTATCTCCTCTCTCCAGATTCCTTTGCCTTATCTTTTTTTTTTTTTTTTTTAAGATTTCATTTACTTATTCATGACACACATAGAGGCAGAGAGAAAGGCAGAGAAAGAAGCAGGCTCCATGCAAGGAGCCCAATATGGGACTCGATCCCAGGACTCCAGGATCACGCCCTAAGCTGAAGGCAGATGCTCAATTGCCACCTGAGTGTGAGCCACCCAGGTGCCCCTGCCTTATCTTTTTTTGAGAATACTGTTAACTTCTCACACTCTCTCCATGTTTTCTCCTTCCCTTTCAAAGTTTCTTGAGAGCTTCTCACTGCTGCTTTGTCCTTGTTTCTGAATTAGGATCCATTTCCTTTACAGAGGCTAAAGCACCCACTAGTACTCATTCCTTCCAGCCTTCTAAAGAACTTAAGTGATCACTTGCTTCTCTTGATTCCTTCATTATTATTGCCCTCTGCTCCTTCTCAACTAAAACTATTTTCGTCTATAAAGAAGAAATACAGATGTTTCTTGGAACCCACGATCACCTTCTTCCCATCTTCTGTCTTCTTCCTTTCATTGCAAAACTTGTTCAAAGAGCTATTTGAAAGCATTGGCCTCTACTTCCTCTGCAGTTCATTCACTCTATTCCCTGGTACTGCCGTGATATATGAGGTGGCAGGAAAGAATATTCTGTCCTGTGGGTCAGCACTGACTTCCAATCACTAAATCCTACAGCCCTTTCCCAGTCTTCAGACCTCCTGCCTTTTGCAATTCTCTCTGGTCTCAGCTTTTTAATAGTTAGCTCTCTTAGTTCTTGAGGGATTCCTTTCTTGATTCCTCTTCCTCTTCTTCCTTAAGTAAGCATTCCTCAAAGTCTGTAGTCTCTCTGTCCCCTTATCTTCTCTCCCACGGTGATCTTTCACAATTACAACTGTACTCTGTAAGACAGCTCCCACATTTTTATCCTTATTTCTACTGCTGGACTTGCCAGGTTCCTGCTGGGTTCCTGTACTGGAATGTTCTGTTACACCTCAATTCAACATATCCAAAGCCCTTTACTTCCCACAAAACCAGACTGTCCCCTATTCCCTCTTATTGCCACTACCATTAATTCAGACTAAAATGCTGATATTTTAAAACTCCATTCCTTAGCAGTGTTCGCTTACAAATCCCTTGTCAAATCCCATAGCCTAACGTAACACCATCCCTTACACGCTATTTTCTTTCAATTGCCTCTCTTTTTAGACGGTGGATACTTTTAGATGAACTGTTATGATCACCTTCTCTCTGATTCACTTTCCTCTAGGCCCTCCCCAACTCTTATCCTATTCAGACATTGTCTCCAGATCAAGCCTCCTAAAGTAAGATTTTGTTTATACAAAAGTGGAAGTAGGGGAAAAGGGAGTATATGCCTGATTTCTCATTCTGCTGTGCAAAGTTCTCCAGGAAGTGGCTCCAACCTACTTTCCCAGTTTAATTTTGCATTATTCCCTTTCATAAATCCTGTGCTTTAAATCACATAATCCAGTGTCTCTAGGACATAAAACATATCCTTACCTTCATACCTGTGCTCTAGCTATTTCTACCACCTGAATACGCTTCCCTTTTAAAAAATTCTAGGGGATCCCTGGGTAGCTCAGCGGTTTAGTGCCTGCCTTTGGCCCAGGGCGCGATCCTGGAGTCCCGGGATTGAGTCTCACGTCGGGCTCCCGGTGCATGGAGCCTGCTTCTCCCTCCTCCTGTGTCTCTGCCTCTTTCTCTCTCTCTATGTCTATCATAAATAAATAAATAAATCTTTAAAAAAATAAAAATAAAAAAAAATAAAAAATTCTATGTATCTTCCAAGATTAATCTTAAAAAGGTTCAGTCCTGCTATCTATAGTGTAGAAATGAATAGTTTCCTAGTTGATGGACTTTGATTTCATGCTATCAAGCCACCTTCTGATTATGCCTTCCGTTTGTTTGTTGGTAGACATGCCACAGGTAAAGAATTTCAGGAGTCCTAGAATCATCACAATGAATTCTCAACGTCTCAACTTTCTAGTTAATTCCTGGGGGACAGAATCGGTGTGAGACTGTTGACTGTAGTGGGAAGACTTGTGTAACTAACTAATCTAGCCCATGTGATAACTGTATTTCTCATTGTAAGAAAATAGGTATTTTCTCTTAGAGACAGACAAATTAAGTTAATGATGCGGTCGTGTCAACAAATGCCAAAGATATCAGAGCTCAGAAAAAGAGCCAAGATTCATAGTAATATGAATGCAAGTTGGAGAACTGAGTCACTACATGCCATTCAATGGCAGGAGTACTGAGTTCAAAATCTTCTTTGCAATCACAGTCAATTAATAATTGCCAGCAAACACCACATATTTATTATCATGCCTGGAGCTGTCTCTTCATTCTATATGTACTAACTTATTTAGTCTTCACAATAATCCTATGAGTTAAGAACTTCCATTTTATAGATGATAAAACTTAGAAAGGTATGCAAATTGTTCATGGGCATATAGAATGGAAGTAGTAAAGCCAGGATCCAAATCGCCTGGCTGCAAAACCTCCACTTTAAAACACTAACCCACAGAAATTTATATTATAAGCAAGGATTTTATTTCAGCAACATACCACTATCCATCATATTAATATTTTAAATTGAATTTTTACTGGTTTTGCAGTTTCATTAATATCTAATATGTTATACTTTTAAATTTTTAAAGTTTTATATAAGCTATTTTTTTAAATTTTTAAAAAATTTTAACTATTTTATTTATTTATTCATGAGAAACAGAGAGAGAGAGAAAGGCAGAGACACAGACAGAGGGAGAAGCAGTCTCCATGCAGGGGGAGCCCAATGTGGGACTTGATCCTGAGTCTCCAGGATCACGCCCTGGGCTGAAGGCGGCGCTAAACCGCTGAGCCGCCCAGGCTGCCCCCAATATAAGGTGTTTCTATATTAATATTTTTATTCATTCGCATATTTTGAAGCAGCATTAAAATTTATAGGAAGCTAAAATTTAGTAAAGTGCCAAGTTGTTGACAAGACCTTTCCAGATAATTCTGCTGATGTGACTGATTTACTTCTTT